TTCTGGTAGAGAATGGTCTGGGGCAGCTGGGCAGGGAGTCACCGGCAGTGTTACTTCCAAAGTTATGCCCTCTTTTATCAGGTGTGTAAACTATCTGACAATTAAATAACCAACCTGATTATGTGAAATTTATAGTCACTAACCTTCATTGAGAGTGTTTGTGTTCAAATTGTTCACGAACATAAAAATTAAAAATGAAAGTTCAAAGAGCATGTAAGGAGACCGGTTAATTTTGAACACGGAGCTGAGCATAAAAGATAAATTAATCATATTTTTGTACGTTAACAATTATAAACATGATGGCACTGTAAAATTTTGTGATTATGTCTGGTAAATTCAACATATTCATAAACTGTACTAATGGAGGCATCATAATTCTTCTTGTTTGTTGATGCTGATTAGTATTTGGTTCTTTTCGTAGGGTTGGGTTTCTCGATGTGCTGGAGTTCTGTTTTGTTCTCCATTTCTGAAGCCTGTTTGCTGTCATGGTCTGTGCTATACATCTACAAGTCAGCTGACTGTGGTCTTCCTTGGGCGCATTATCAGAATTACACTGGACGTGAGTATCATCGCTCGTCTTTATCTGTCATGACGTTTCCATGGTTATTTATTATAGCCCTAATGGATTATTTTATGCCTGCGTACAAAATTACATTTTTTATCTTTTTAACTTTACACATTATTATTATTATTATAATCATCATCCTTCTCACTGTTCCCTGTAAATTCTCAATTTTATGTTCCTTGGTATAAAAGTGTTTATTTACTGTTGATTTGAATATTCCATATTCTTAAATTCTAAGTTTTAGTGTAAATATTTTTTTTGTTCTATATTTGGGATTTGTAATGTATTAAATAACAAACTGGGCATTGAGATGTTTAAATAAATAAATAAAAACTTGCTGACATCGTTACTATAAGAAAAGCATACATTTTTTGATGAAAAAAAAAACTATGTGAGAATTTAAGAAGTTTGCGACAGAGTTGCAGGACAAGAAGGGATTAAAACCGGCCTACCCTCGACATAGTGAGTTTATTATATCCTTTTTGCATATAAGTTCCTAAGTCTTCTTTACACTTTAGTGTCAGTGAAGAACACTTTATGGACCCATTTATGTCTGTTGTGTTGTGTCTTTCAGCGGAAGAAGCCATGCTGCCCTAAATCAGCATTCTTGTGAACTAAATTTTTACCTGTGTACTAACTTTGGAATAGATAAAAAAGTTTTTATGGAAATTATGCCATTTGATCCTAGTCAACAGTAGTATACATATTTTAATTTCTTACAATGGTAATGGTAATTTGACAGATTATCAAAGTTATGTTGGATGATGAGAATTCCATTTCCTACGATCCTTTGGACATGAATGATGATATCATTGGAATTAATGAAGGTCATTTATAGTAATATATGTCTGCATTTAATTAATGCAAAAATAGGCTGTATGTATCTTCGTTAAATTTGTTATGTATGTTATGCCATTTGAGGCTAATCCAGAATCTGCTTTTTAGGTGTTCCCTATGCTTCAACATAAGCTAAGAATATGTTAATGCACTTGTTCATGTCTGTTGCATCTTTCAGCCAAAGATGTCATTCTACATCTCTGGTGATGTCTATCTGCATTTATTCAATAATTTGAGAATGGCTGGGTGGATTTTCATTACACGTGTTATGGATGCTGTGCCGTTTGAGGCAAATCCGAAGTTGTTTATTTTAATTTCTTACAATTGGTAATGTAAGCATGACCAGTGAGGTGGGCCAATGATGATGCTGTTACTTATAGTCTGCACATTCTTAAACATGTCACTGTTTCAATAATGTGATCCAAAGTTATTGTTGCAACATTGTTAGCCAACAATGACCTTGGTTCACATTGTTCAAACAGTGTGCTCCAACAGTGACATCATCATGTTAATCTAATTGCCCTGAAGATGGAGGCAGCAAGGACCTCTGAAACGTTAATAAGGTTCTACGCGGTGCAAAACTAAAAAAAACAGTTATCTTCCGAGTCTCCAATGTGAAAACCTCAAATCCTACTATGTATTCTTTTTCCCTTAACATAAAAAAATGCCTGCTATAATTACACACAATAACGATGAAAGAAATATATAGTATTCTGGAAGAAGTGGTTAATTGTGTACACCAGTTGTTCCTATTTTAATTAAATTTAATCAGTACATTACATATATGCTTGGGCAGATCTGTGATTAATTTTATTTTGTACTAAGTGTAGTCACTCGTAAAAGAAAAATTAATTTTCCTTCATTCATGTGAGTATGTGATACTTATGTTTCGTTTTAGTGACAAGCTCAGAAAAATACTTCACTGGTGAAGTCTTAGGTGTATCTTCTGGATTAGAAATATTTGGCAACATCCAGGGTAATTTAGTGATTGCACTAGCACTCACATGGGGCGCTGTTGCAGCTTGTCTTGCGGCAGGAGTCCGTCATACTGGAAAGGTAAATCTTTGTCATGAACGGAAAAGTCAGATGCAAAGTAACGATCTTTCTTTACATCTGTACAAGAGATAAATTCTTGTTAATTTATTATTTATTGAAGGACTGGCTTGGATACTGCAACATACATGAAGTTGTCCCATCACCTAACCCAGTGGAGTTCAACCTTTTAGGCAGGCAGGCCACATTGAAAGATGTAATGTGATATAATGACTATAGTATTCAGATATCTCTACCAAAACCAACACAAAACTGAGCATTGCAATAAAAACAGTTTAAATTTGCCTCATTCGTGTGAAACTTGAGCCTGTTCTTATTTTGAAGACTTAACATTTGGTTCCATTTTGAAGTGCCAGTTCACATCACGTCAAGCAAGTGCTCATCACTGATTCTTGAGCAGACCTGGGAAAGCCTGTTCACCTAAAATTGTGCTAACTTACCTAAATCAGAGAAGTGAGATACTGTTAAAGAAGCATAAATGACAATTAAAGACGTCTTGTCGAAACTGCTATTCAAAATTGAGTCATCTTTTCCTTTAAACTTCCTCCAGGCCAGTTATTTTTATGCATATTTCAGGAATATATTTTCTGCATGTTATCCTTAAGGAAATGTGCTACAAGGATCAGTCTTTAGTGTGAGACTGTTCCATCACCATCAGTGGAATTGTAAATGCAGTAGGGTCATCTGTGGCCACATTGTCATATGTACACAACATTGCCGTTTACTACAGTTCAAGGAGCATTGTCGCCATCAAACACTGGCTTCAGGAGCCATCTGTCAATGTGGGCTCTACAGAATGGGTTTTCCTTTTCCCTGGATAAAACTTAATGTGTACATTTCACATGCTTTTGAGGGGTTAACAACTTTACTCCTCCCTGTTTCAGTAATATTTCTCTTTAATTTGTTCCAGTTTGTAAGTTTGTGGGGCTCGTTTTTGACAGCAAGCTATTATGAGAAACTCACTTGGTGTATTACATTGCTTATTGCCCCTAAATATGGCACACATGTCGTGATATATGTCAATTTTTTGTGTTCCTCTTTCATGCTATCATCCGTATGCCTTTTTAAAAATATAATTTCTCTCTATTTATATTTCTCTGTTTATTCCAGTATGTTCCACAATTCTTCCTTCTTCCTACATATCAGAATCCCTGTTTCTGCACCTCCAAACTGCCACCTTCCACCACAATATTCCTTTCCTTTGTTCCCTCAAACATATTTTTAAGCAGCCCCCTTTTCCGAGTTACAATTCATTTAAATGCTTCTTGATATAATGTCAGAGATATGTTCCTCTTGTCCAGCTGTGCTATGTAACAACACCAGCAACATTCCTTGCTGCCGGAATCTTATTCATCCGCGGCCTCTTGCTGTGGAACAGGAACGTGTCACAGGCCGTGCTGCCGAACTGGAGTAAGCTGGCAGATCTGACTGTGTGGCTGACGGCTGGGTGCTATGTGTTCCACTCATTGAATCTTGGTCTCGGAGGTTTAACAGTAATCAGTAGCCATAATAAACGGACCACTAACCTACTCAGGTATGAACTACATGTTACCTCAGTTAAGTGTTAGAAGTGGGTTTTCGGTAGTAAGTTAAAAAAAACTATATTAACGCCTTATCTGAATTTGACATATGTTAGCAGAGATGTGCTGAGAAGCCATGGATTTTGTTCCTTTGTCATGACTCAGCACATCTGGACAGTGATACATTATGTATGCAGCACACTACAAGCACATAGCAGGATAACTTTACTTTACTTTTTTACCATTCAGTATGAAATACCCCATGTTCTTTTATTTCAGTCAGTGTGTCTCTCCCACCTCTTCCTTTAGCCTCGTTCTTCTTCCTCTTCTTCACCTTTTTCTAGTTTTCCTATTTATTTTCAGTTTTCACTGCTTCACATATTGTTTATCCTGTACCTTTTTATTCTTTGCCTTTTCTGCATTTTGGTTGTTTTATTCTCTGTTCTTTCTCAATTTTCTTCTTCCTCCTCCTCCTCCTTTCATTCTTTCACTAATGGAAGCAAAGCTTCCAGATATCGCAGTTTTTCTTTCTACCTTAATTCATACTTTTCGTCTATACTCAATACTGTCTCTCAGGTGAATCATCTTTACCTCAGTCATTCTTCATATTTCTTTGCCTTCAGTGGAATCAAAGAATGGGCCTGATATGCATCTTGAATGGTAAAGAAAAGAAATGCAGGCAGAATTTTAGTGGAGGAAGCTGCTTGGAAAGTGAGAAGATAATATTAAAATTAATCTTAAGGAAATAATCTTTGAAGATGATGTGAATGCAAATGGCTTGGGATCATGCCCATAGTATGTTTTATATTATTAGAATTTCACATTTTATTACATGAGAGTGTTATTCCCAGGCCACGTGAAAATATTTCATTCACTTCATAAAAATATGCTCTCTGCTTGTCAGGGATTCAGTGCTGATGTGCCTCTTTCACTTCATATGGGGAGTCATGATGTGGTTGACGTACGTGTGTCTCATGGCTGACTACCGAGAGAACAGTGAGATAACGAAGAACATCAGTGGGGGATCTTGGATTCTATTTGTTGTGTTTGCGAGAGGATTCAGCATTCTGCCACATGGAAATGCATTTGCTATGGCAATGTACATCATGGTATTTTTTGTAGGTGAGTATTACATATATCAAGCTGAGAGACAATTATACTTAGCATATTAGTGTAGAAATAAAAAATTCCTAACTCATCAATAGATTTTGTCAGTTTTTGCTACTTTCAATATTAAAATGAAAGGTTTTTGACCGTTGCCTGCTCCGCCCATGTAGCTTAGTGACAAATTGCACCAGCTCTCTGTTTGTCAGCAGTGCACTGTGCTCTACAGTCTTCAGACTAACAATTTTTTGTGACAGATTCAGTTCACATTTTCAGTTCTTATCTTTAACATGTCCTTGTATTTGTGAGAGTAATATCTTGCAGGCACTTGGGGGGAGAGGTGGTATAGCTCCTACTCATTCTTAACCTCAGCACTAGACAGGGGTGTCTGGTCAGTGTCGCACCCTGGCGGCGCTTTACCTCCAGCAAGGGACTCTGGTTCCCATTGGATCGGAGGCTAGGTAGGCCTCAGAGCCAGTCTGGACGCAGAGGCTAGAAGAAAAATACTCTGCCCCCATCGGGGATCGAATCCCGGTCGTCCAGTCTGTAGTCAGTCACTATACTGACTGTCCCACCTGCTTCAACAATCAGTAACTCTGCATTTTGTATTTATGGGTTTTGTTTGATTCTCGCTGTAAATAGTTGTTATTCCTTACATAGCATCAATCAGTTGATCTTTGTAATGGTGAAGTGTAGTGTTTTATTTGCAGTATGGACTGAATTATTAAATATATTTAGATGAGCTTCAGCTCAAAAGAGTAAACAGAAGGCTAAGAGCATGTATATAATTTCCGCATTTTGAGTTTCTCATTACAAAGCCTAATCAAAGCATAATATGGATCATAACTGTATTTGCAATGTTCACATGGAAAGACATTTTATAATTAATGATAAAACTAAGATCCTTGATTCATTCTACTCTTTATAATTCCTCATCATTAGTAGTACATACAGACTCTTGAGTAAATTTTGTTGTTGTGGTTGATTGATAAGTGCATTAACAGACACAGACAAATGTGATGATTCATGGCAGAAGTATGTAATTGACTGGCATTGCTGCATAAGACCAAGAGATGGGCAAAGTCAGTAAAATAGCAGTATAAAATCTGAAGTTACAGTTTGTCTGAACAGGATCAGGAGATGATTAAACAACAACATTTAGATATGTCGTTGTCATCATTTTAGGTGTTGGCACACTCTTTGGAACAATTTT